CCAAATTGCTTGCGTTGAATATAAATGAATAATTTCAATTCTTTTTGCAGCACGCATTCGTTGACAAGTTCGTTTCGTAGCAGAGATAAGTTCAACGAAGCGGAGTGGAATCAGACTCAGATTCGAAATTCACAGAAAATGGTACTAACAGAGAAGACTTTCAAAGATGTCCTAGTCATCTCCATAGCCAGAACAACCGAAGCCAAAAAAACCGAATGGTTTATGATCAGGTACGGGGTAGCCACGATCTTCAGATATTTGAACAAGCCTGCAACCCCCTGTATCAGGAATGTATCGCCTACATAAACAAATGGAATCAGGGATAAACTGCTCGTGTTGAGTAAGCTACGTGTTAGAAACCAGTAGGAAATTGAATAACCGAGTAGATAAATACACGACTTGTCTAAGCAGAGCGGATGAACATAAAATATTCGTTGCCGAACTCAGCATATTAAAGAACTACGTCATAAATTAGAATGCAAGCAGCATGATCCACTTGCAAGCCAATCGCAAAAATTAAGTTTCTACTCGGAAGTCACGGTAAGTCTGAGAAAAAGCAAAAACAACAAGCAGAAGTAAAATAACTTAAAAATATGACCTAATATAGATACCATTTTTCCATCTCTATACTTTATGCACTTTATTCGCTTTGATGACCAATCTAAAATTCAAAAATATATCGTAATCATAGAAACGGGCGAACTTAATCTTCTAGGATCTTCTTTTTTCTACTGTCGCCTGCATTTCAGCATTACAGCAAGAAACTGAAAGTTGGTTACCGTGAAAGTGTCGGAAATTTCGAAATTCCACACGTTCATTAAGAATTTACAGGTTTCTTTGTTTTGCCTTCAGATGTGTTGTCAGAATCGATTTATCTCTAAGTGTATTTTATTAATTAAATTTCTTTTAACTAAGTATCAGATATTTCTGAGTGCAGAGGTGTCAAATTTTAATTTTGCTAAATTTTATCACGTTGCATATTGGACATAATATAGTCTAAAATGTTTATCGGGCTTACAGTCGATTATCTAACATATCAGTTAATTTTCTGTGGCTATTCTTTAAAGATTATTTATGTGTGGCAAGAAGTAGCAAATTCGATCATCGACATTCTATTTCCAGTAAACAGTGAATCAATCGTTGAATAAGCTCTGCCACATATATAACGAAGTATCATAAATAATCATCATGCTTGTATATTAGTCCTTTATATTATTACGTGGTTAATATAAATAATATTTTGCCATGTTCAGTAGTGTTACATGCTGCGCGTAAACAACCAGTTAATTTATGACTACAAAAGGTAATGCAAAACTTTGACCGATAGATATATAAGTCACAATCTTAAGGTAATTTTCAGATATGGTCTAAAAGAAAAACCATACATTTATGTTAAAGATTTTCCGATTACTAACCGTTGTAATGGTTTTTCTTTTAGACCATACCTGAAAATTACCTTAAGATTGTGAATTATACATCGGTCAAAATTTTGCCTTATCTTTTGTTCTGTTTTTTGTTGTTTTTATCTAAGATGTGGTGTTTTAGACTAGTTGACTAAATTTTATTGTTTCTAAACAGTTCACGAGTTTTTAAACTTATGAAGGTAATACTTGTGCCGTCTAGCATCACTTGCGACTGTTTGCCGATAATAGTAGTCACCGCAGAAGCAAAACGTCATCTTCCGTGCTAACTCTAAGGTTGTTAACGTTCTAAACTAGTTCATGTCATTTTTTGGTATAATTTGTTTTTATAACAGATTATCTGTATGTGCATATTCTCATAAATGTATGCATATTTATAAATTCGGAGAAGTTTTCCAGTTCATTTGTGGTGTGCATGTCATCTGTTGAGATGTGTTCGCAGAACGTCTCTGCCTTGTGAATTCGGTTGCATTCTCAGCTTTTCATCACTTTTGCTATGAGGCACCGGATACTTTATTGTAGAAGTAACAGTTATTCTCGGAAAGCAGGTTATTACATTGGTTATTATAGAAATCAAGATGGTTCAAAGTTGAATGATTGTTCATATGCCGAAGCTTTGAACAGCAACTAGTTTCCTTCGCCATCAAATTGTGTAGTAATAGAGGGATTCTTTATACTGTGATATGGTTGTTTCCGGAATATTTTCTAATGAAGTCTTTCAACTTTGAGCCTCCTTTGTTTTTGGAACCACTGATTTTGAAACTTCTAAACAACTCTGAAACGGTTTGTAACACCGGGTAAAGTGAAAGGTTTTATTAGTCAAAATTGTGCGAAACCTTGATTTGAACGACTACCTGTATGCCTGGTAACGTGGTTTATTCGTTTATGTTCGAATATTTTTTTGTTTACCCCAATAAAGTAGTTTTGCATCCGATGCACTGCAGGCGGTTAAATACCATGGACCCTGCTTAAATGGTTCCCCTAGACTACTAGAAGCAAGGGGACGTTGCACTGCGTCGTGCACTACTACTAAATTCGAAGAAATGATAGGAGAATGTTTAATCTGAATGTTTCGAAGGATATTCGACTACTGTTCTTCAGCGTAGTCAGTAGGAATTATCACGGTTGTGGTAATTGACCTGATATATCGAACGGCCATGAGGACTCGTGCATTCTTCGCCGAAGAAAAAGAATACTGTGATACCGTTCGAAGCCTTCAGAATCAGTTTTGTATATATCTGCTAATCAATTGGGGAAAAACAAGAAAAGATAAGAAATGGAAGGAATCGGTAAGAGTATGGACAAGGTGTCATTGCCCGAGTGAATATGCTACGTTCACAGTGAGCAAGACATGTTGCTAGAAGAACCGGTCATCGCGGGTGCAGGGAGACGTTACACTGGCTTATAAGAGAGCAACCGGCTCATAGTTAGACATCCAGATCAGTGGCAGGATTAACTTCGCTGGATCGAGATGGATTAAAGCTGCTAAAAGCAGAAGTTTATGAAAAGACTCTATGTGGCGTTCATCACGCGATGAATGGAAGAAATGATGATGATGATGATGTCTAATGAAATTTTATTTTGCGTAGTGTTACAAAGCGTTTTAAAGTTATAAAGATATGTGGCTACTGTCATTTAGTCACAGATTTTTCAAATAGTTAGATGAGACTTTTATAAAATATTTTTGTGTACAAAGATCGGGAAACTGCTTTGATAATCACAGTGCTGCAAGAAGCATGATTTGCACATTATTTCTAGAAATTTTTCGGTTTAAAGCAGTGTTCCATACGATAATTATTTTACTAGTTAGTCTTTAATATGTTCTGAAACTCATTTTAATTCTGTTTTCATCTTTAACCAGCTTGCACTTGAATGGTTATAATCTAAACGAAGCAGACTGGTACTAGAACTGGCGACATTTCATCCAATCGATATAGGCTATCCTCGGGGTATCCTGAAACCATTAAACTATAAGTTTATTACGTTAATAATTTTCACGACCCTTCGTCTGGTATGGTGAACTGTTACTGGTGGTTGTCGGCCAAGTGCCATGATTTTCCTAAGGCCACGGAATACCGTGGGATGCGTGTAGAAACATCGGTCACAGGAATTTGATTTCGATGAGTTTGTAGTATAACGCTGTGCAATGAATCGTTTATTTTGTTGCATTTACAGCACATGAACTGACTTGCCAACAGCTTCTATGTCTTGCTAATGTAATTGTCATTGTTTTATTTTAACTAACTTTCAAAAACACTATATTAATTAGAATTAAAATTATTAGTTTACAGTTAATCAGTAACTGATTTGTGCTTGACTGTATTTCATAAAAGAGTAATATTAGATTACTAAACTTTCGATTACTTAGCTTTTGCTGTCAGTTTCGAATCCTTTGTTTTATAGGATAAAAGTTCTCCAAGCAACATGTACTCGCATACTAGTCCTACGGTGGAACCGATGGTGATCGGAAATTCGCCCAGTCCTTCTGCGCAAGATCCGAAGTCTCCTGGAAACCGCAGTTTCTTGCCGCCGTATCTTTTAGGGTCTCCCGGTGGTAACAAACCAAAATCA